AGAATTGACCTTCAGGTCCCCTTATTTCATGTGTAAATATTACATTTATTACAAGCTGTGCTGAATTGTCGTTTTCTATGTTAGAAGTTATTAATCCAAACCCCCTATAGCCATGATTGAACGTTTGCCACGCACTCAATAAATAGTGTTATTTGAAATATAAATGAGTGACTCGTGAATATGTTGCCACTATTTTGGGGGAAAATTAGAACTGATAACCTATTCATGTTTGAGAATTGAAACTTTGGCAAAAATGAGATAGTATATACAGTGAGGTACTCCTATGAAGTAAATTATGTTTAAACATCCATACATGGATTTTGGTTAAATCGAAAGTCACCGTGCTGTCCAAAGGAGGCCGCCAATATTTTTTAACTGTCAAAAAAGGTGATTATTTCCGTCACAAGCGATCGGTGCGTCCATAAAACACCAAACGACACGAAATAGACTGCGTTGATATCGAATAAACCATAAATAACAAGCACATGTCGTAACCAGGTTTTTTGTCCATATTCAGACCAACTTTCTCCCTCTTCGTATGATTTTCGTACCGGACGACATGGCGATATCGCTCCGCAGTTAATTTACAAAAATGACAATATTTTCTGTCATAGTTATCAAAACAAGAGTATAATTCCTTAAATAATAAAATACTTTTGATGCCGAATTGAATTACACAAATGTAGGAGTATTACTACAGAAAAAGAAATCATAATATCCAAGATCGGACTGTTTGTGCGGCGTCACTTCCGGCAATGTGTATCAGCCGTCAACAACATGAAGCAGAGGAGAAAACGCTGAGATGCAGAAGATCGACAATGTTTATTTGTTGTAAGTATGGTTTGTGGGATAGAATACAGTTGTAATTTACATAAAGTAAACATAGATAATGTATTGCTTGAGTCGATGTCCTGGTAAGACGAGATTTGTGTGTTGTATTTTGACAAGTGACACAAACAGGAAATGCGAAATGAAGGCAAAAATATTTTTTGTTCAAAACAAATTTACAAGTTTTTGGCACATTTTGGTCAATGCACATGCTCTTTCTTATGGAATTGAATGTTTTTATTGAAAAACCGATTATTTATATTACTGTTTGAAGTGTCAATAAAAAGTAAACACTTTATGGAAGCATGGAAGCAGAACATGTGTCAAATTAGTGTCTCCTGCATTGCATTTCAGTGAAGCAGCACTCAAAAAGGCGCCATTAGTATGCTTTGGTAAAAGAGATTAGTCTGCAAAGAATCTGAATGTGAATTTTTAATAGAGAATGAATACCAATTAATTAACATTAATGATAACTTTTTATTTATTTTATAACACAGGTGTGCAGCACAACTAATTGAAGCCATAGAAGCACATGTCAAATAACAACATTGCCGTGAACATATGAGGAGGAAGCTCTAAAGACACACACATTCCAAAGTGTTTACATCTGCATGTAATGTACTGGGAATAGATGTTCGTCAACCTCAATGCATGATTATTGTCTATTCCAGAAATGCACGAAGAACATTGAATGAAATTTGTCCGACGACTCATTTTCCACCAGAGGACATTGAAACACACAAAGTGGCAATCTAAAACTGTGCAGTACTCAGTTTTATAAAAATGATGGATTTCATGATGCAGTGTATAGAAATCTCTATGAAGGGGATGACAAGGGTTACAGAATTGACTATTTGCAGGATTACTTGATTGCCCCATCATTGTGTGTTTGTAAATATTGGTAGCTACAATTATGATATGGTGATATCCAATGGGATGATGTTGTCGTGGTATCCTCCTCACTAAGCAAAAGATATCTAAGCTTTTTTTCACGTCTGCAACTACATGTCAAGCAACATTCCAAAGTTTGAACACTCGCGTGTGATGTACTGGAACACTCAAATCGTACTGGAATAGCCCATCGCGAAAGTGAAACTTGACTGATTTAGTTGGCAGAAACTTGCAGAGAATATTGTTTTTACGGATATATAAATTGGTAAATATGCCAATGTCTTGATTACGTTAGAAGAAATGCGATTATTCCAAAAGCTTCAATAATGATGAACGGTAATCAAATTGAAATTTGACACATGCTCCAACCGCTAAAATGATAGCACAATACATCAACTTGAAATCTTATGTATGGAATTTATGTCAATTTCATTGAATAATTGGTATTTATTTGTATTCAAAAATTACAAATATACCTAGTAACTGATATATATGCCACATTATCGCTAACCTACTATTCCGTTGACATATAATAAGGTGACACTGGGTTTAATGTTTTATACGATGATTCAAATGTCTTGTATGTGTATGTAATATGCTAATTAATGTAATTATCAATATAAATCAACTACTGTGATCTAATATTTGTTAATGACTCTTTTTTTTAAACAAACCATAATATACATATCATGCATTATTTTTCGGTTAAAAAGGTGGTTTTAAAAAAATTTGATGTTTGGTAATGGTATTTAAACTACATAGGCCTCCATAGTTTTACAAAAGTAGTTCCAATATGGCTGATTTTTTATGGTGAAATTAACTAATGACTTGACTTTGAAGTTGTGATTATCAGTCTTTTGGAGCAGTTTCGTTAACTTTTAACAATCCCACTACCTTAAATGAGTTCTAAGAGAGATTTTGACTGATGTTTCATTGCAAATCGACTCTGTTTTGTGTAGATAGATTATTTCCTGCATAACGTGTAATTAATGCAATTTAAACAATATTAACGAACTGAACTTAACTGAAAGCTAATACATACTGTTACTCATATCCTAAGGATCGTAGTGATACCAAAATAAGGGCTATCGAGGTAAAATTCAAAAATTATGACCTTTTGTAACTTAGTTGAAAACAGACTTTACATGAACCTTAACTCGCCACACCTCTTTGTTAAACTTCAAACAATCGTTTATCTTTTATCAAGATGCAAACAAGTAACAATCCCATATCACAAAATGTAAAATAGAAAAACAGTTACACAACCGAAAAATATAATCCTTTTGGTTTTGTATCATGACACTGTGCACCAAAGTTAATTAATAGATAGAAACCGAAAATAACAAATACAGATAATTCTTTAGACGTATCAGTGTTGTAATGATCAAAGCGAAGAGTGAAAAGAGAATTTCTCTCTGCGACAGAAAGGCAGAAGAGTCATCCTACACTCCGCCAATAATTAAACAATATGTAAAAGATGAATATTTACGATAGCGAGGAAGTAACTAAATTTGGTGAGTAAAGTATCATATGTATGTAATAATGACAGCAAGATGCACGTTTAAATAAAATTGTCTTCGGCTCGTGGCCGACCGAAGGGGTATGTTTCAACACTAGCGTACACATTTAGTAGCAACGGGTTTTTTTTTCCGTTGTAGCAGTTTGTGGTTTTGTACATTTTTCATGTTAAAACGCGGGGGGGGGGGGGGATATTATGTTATATTTTGCTATATTCAACCAACGCACTCTTAAACAACAGGTGTATGGATCCACTACCCGTATTAAACCACCAAACTGTTGTTTTTACCAATGAGATTTATACATATTTGATATAACCCTATTGCATCCCGTCAAATAAACAGTATACTAAAGAATATTTCGGTTGGTGAAAAACCTAGACACGATGTCATTGTTTAAGTTTTATTTTGATTTAGGGTTGTCAACGGTTAGCCGGTTAGCAAAATCAATAACCGAATAGTCAGACATTATTATCCCATTTTGCCGATCTATAAATGAGACCAAACTCGGACAGATTTGTAATAAAAACAGTGTTCACGTTGACATGTTATTGTTGTTTTTGTTCTCACTTACAACGATTTACAAAGAGATGCTGCTAGCACCATAAAAAAACTTAACAGATTTTAAAAGGAAGCCAGAATACAATTTTGTGACATTACACATTTTAGGAACAGAACTCGCTTTTACATGCGAGATGTAAATATCATCTTAGGAGTACACACTTGAATGAGTAAGTATGTATTAAAACGTTTGTCCATCAAATTTTATTCCAATGAAAAATATTTCAGCATATGATTTGTAGATAAGACATCATTTTAGACGATAATAATGAATCGTTTTACCCTCCAATTGGCACTAGTAATTTTATCTATTAATTAAACACAAATAAATGATGCTGAAATACAAGAAATATGGGATTGTTGCGTCAAAATTAAAAAAAAGTCAAGCAAAAAATATGAACTTTTATTTTCGCAAATATATTACTGAAAATACGGGAAATTGATCGTTGAGGATAGCCTCATTTGTTTAAAAATGCAGGAAGACTGCAGCACAAAGTAAGGATCGCAATACACGTGTAAGACATGCTATTCGAAAATAATATATATCATTTTGCCATTCAAAGGTGCAGGAAAAACGAAATCAAGATGTGTGTTTTGTAAAAAAGCAGGTAGCGGCATGACACAGGCAGTAGTTATGAACATTAAATCCTTTCAAAACTTGTTGGTAATGATTGTACGATCTTGTGTAACATAAAGCATATTTTTTGTTTTAAATTCATAGAAATAACGCGTAATAAGCATTGTGTTGAGTCTTTATTGTTAAACGCATGTCTTAATAGCCATGGACTTAAAATGGCCTGTTTACAATAATCCACCCAGGACGAGTCATGACAGTACCCGGTGGCAATTCAAGCACGCATATGTGGAAATAGGCATAGCAACCCGCCATAGCTCTTTGACCGGCTTAACATTCCTAATTTGCTTATATATATATTACGTATATTACAAACAGGTTGTACCCGTCACTGTTCTAAAATCTCTCTATAATTATCCTTTATATATACTATAGTTTTAAACGGTACAAGCAAGCCCGACTTAGAATATATACGCAGGTACCATCTGGAAAAAATAATCAACGAGTAATGAACTTACAATCATATCAGCTACAGGTTAAAACTAACCACAGAGTTGCTGTTATGAAAATAAAGTATATTAGTATGTTAATCCACCGTTATAACAATCAAATTATACGAATTTACCTACCGGCAACGATTGATATAAGATTTCCTTGTAAACACAGCACTTAAATCCGAATGTAAGCTCACAGACGTAAACGTTGGATATTGACGGGCACTAGCGGCGTCATGCCTTGTAACATCGCACACACTCGTGGCTACTCGTTTACTGTAGTACACCGACCAGCTGTTCTAAATGTATACCTTCATAACTCATGTTACGGTTCAAAATGTTTTAATTCAACTAGCACGAATACGTGTACACATGATACTTTATATATAGATATAAATGTACCTAGACGTACAGTAGTTGGTAAAGAGACAGGAATATGGTAACAAAACATATGACCTAAACAATTAGTACTATTCTGTTGCGAATGTTGTATTATTAGTAACAATTACGGGCTCGTTGTTATACTGCATTTAGACTGAGTATTACACGTCTACGTATTACCTATAGCTACAATATAGGGTTGGTCATGGTGATCATTACGATACATGGTAGCAGTGCGTCAGGATGATGCTTTGTAACATTTCAATATGTGAAAACGTGAAAAATATATTAAGTTCATTATTGGCACGACTTCAATGCTCACTTCGAGGTAAAAATGAATCGCGCTATTCCTGTCCCACTGCACATTGTGTTTTCGCATTTACAGAAAGCCCTCCTTAAGATCGTCTTTTGATATAACTGTAGCACAGTTGGGGATCAGCAAACCTCCGTTGACAAGGTAGCTCAGTGACGATTTGTTTACTGGCAGAACACTGGCTTTGACTTATGTTGTTTATGTTCTCTTTATAATTTCCCCCAATACGAGTCCCGCGAGGTATGATTGTCTTCTCTGACCTAATTTCTTAAAGTATAGTCGTGCCGTAAAAACAGTTTGAAATGCATAATAACAGTAAAATTAGCAGTGGTACGGATACAGAAAGGTAAAATGGACCGGCTTTCATATCAAGAGCTGTTCTCACCGTCTACCAGCCGTCCAATTGGTCAATTCTTAATGTCTGGAATCAATCTAATAGCTATCCGTGAGCTATCGATTTTGTCATGAGAGAAGAGAAGATGTGTTTATCGAAACTCCTTGATGTCAAAGTCGATTCGTTGCAATCTTTACGTCCAACAGCTTTCGGTGTTTTTCTATCTTCCCTGAAGTCGGCGCCATTGATATTGTCGTCGCAAAGGCAAAGTGATAAAACAAGCTTATACGGCAAAAAAATGACGTCATTTATAATCAAAATATCTTACGTTATTTTGAAAAGATAAGTGAAATTTTCAACGTTTTCTATTTTTGGTCATGTTGTGAATACGTTGAGCAACTGTAAATTAATTAGATGACAAATTTACCTTATAACATGACCAAACCAGAAAACTATTTCTTCTGTGACTGCTTAGCAGATAAGAATATTTTTTTAAAACACAACCGAATATTTGATAAGATCAATTAAAGTAACAGCCAGACATTACTACATTTTGTATGTGCATTGGTTAATTCTGTCCACATTTACTGTTGATGGTGTAACACAGTTCTGCCTCGTACGCGGAAACTCGGCGTCCCTCCGCCCACATGTATTGACGCCGTTGTCTTCTAAATTTCTATGGTTTGGCAATGAGACGTAAACTTCAGTTAACAGGAACAATAGCTTGTAGAAATGTTCGTGTAGCCTTTCAAGTACAGTGTTACTGGGTGACACGTCGATGTCTAGTACGGTATATGACCAGTGCGTCGTAGGTACACGTACAAAATGTTATGTAGGTGTAGAATAATGCACTAGTTGGCATATGTATACACAATCGGCTCCGCAATACGCGACCTGAGTCGTTATACAAGTACGAAATGGCGAATCAATCGACAAATGGATTCGGTTACGCTTTGTGTTTAACCCTGTCATCACTGTACACCATAATGGCATAATCCAGGTCAATGCATGGTTTAGAGTTTACTAAAGTTAACAAAGGGTGTAGGGGGAAATACCGGGAAACAATGTCCATTGAATAAATATCGGTGTATAATGTAAGCCGGCCTTGACAAACACTTGAGTACAGATTTAAGGGTTAAGGTTTCAAATAATCTTTCCAGTAGGCATGAAAACAGTTCAATGTTAAAGGATCACTGTCCCACTTCACTCTGGATTTTCGTATACAGAGTAACTTTCCCATAATTTCGTTTAGGATATAACTAGCGCCGCTATACTAGGTCAGTTCTGTTGACTAGTTTGTTCAGTCGGTTAGAGAGACAGTATTACAATCTGAGCTCCATGGCTTGAAGCTTAGCCCCCCCCCCCCCCCCCCCCCCCTTGCATTTTATTATATATATATATGTATTTTACAAAATTCCCGTCTCCTTATTTCAAAATATTTTATTAAATCCATCAGATTTAATAGGAATTGGGCAACAGGCAAAGTCCATCTCAAACAATAGCAAATAATGAACTATGAATATTTACAAACATGGTTAGGAACATAAGAATTAGATCAGTACCAATGAAGATAGGAGTCACCGTACATACACGCAAACATATATACATACATGCACAATGCACAAACATGAATGCATACAACCGTACACACATCCATGCATACATACATCCATACATCCATGCATACATATAAACATACATACACATACATACACACACACACACACACACACACACACACACACACACATACATACATACATAAACACACACACACACACACAGATCAGAGTTCAAATGACTTGCACGATTTCGAAGTTAACATAATAGTATGTTAAGAGATCTAGTCCCTTAATATTTAAGAACCTTAGTACATATATCTCCATTATTTTGGGGCATGGCATGATGAACAAGTTGTTTTTTGAGTTCACTAATAGATTTCATTTATAATAATAACATTCGGGTCTATCCCACCAAGACATTATGTTAGGAAAGACACTATTAAAATATGTATTAGATCTCCAAATGTGTGGTTCAAGTACACGTTGATGACGGACATGATGGGTCATAGCTTCGTTTCTGACTATGAATATGTTTCTTAAGAGTGTCCCATCCAATTTCATTGTAGATGATTTCATGACTAGTACCTCTTCGGAGACCATTAACTATTCTAGCAGCATCTAGATTCAAGAAGATCTGATTCAGTTTGATTACAATTATTCCATACAACACTAGCATACTCAAGATTTGGACAAATATATGACTTGTATATCATTTCTAGAGATTTCCTATCAATTATGTGTTTGAGTGACCTAAATATATGCATCTTATTACATGTTTTATTTATTATATATAAAATTGATGTGATCAGACCACAAACCATGGCTGTTAAACAAAATACCCAGATGTTTATGCTTTTTTACATTTACCACAGAATTGTTAAGAAATATGAGATCAGGATGCATTTCATCTGCATTTAATTTATTTGATATAAGAAGAGCTTCTGTTTTACTAGGATTAAATAATAAACCCTATCTATGAGCCCAGCACCAACATTGTTATCATTTCCTATATAGGTACAAATAGTGAGGTATCATCTGCAAACAAAATCACATTAGACTCAATTTCATTTTCTATGTCATTGATATATAAAAACAAAAAATAATAATATGGCCCTAGGACCGAGCACTGTGTGACACCGGCTGGACGTGTACGCCAAGAAGTCTTCTACCCATCAATTATTACTCTTTGTTGTCTATCAGTTAACAAGTAGAAAGCCAATTAAGAAAATTGTCTTCAATGCCATAATTGTTCCAATTTGTACACAAGTCCATCATGCCAGACCCTATCAAAGGCTTACTAATATCACAAACCACAATTCTGGCCTCTTTTCTTCTATCAAGTTGCTTGAGAATTGAATTATATATTGCTAATAGCTGGTTAACTGTAAAATCTTTGGGGAGGAATCCAGATTGGTTCTTACAAATTATATGATTTCTTGAAAGATAATTCTTTCAAGCATTTTTACTAAACATAGGAGTAATAGAAATAGGTCTGTAGTTTGATAGGTCACTTCTCTCCCTATTGTCCTTGTATACAGCTGTGACATTGGCATTTTCTCAGGCTTTAGGTAATTGACCGTATTCCACTGATTTATTAAAAAGAATATGTAATGGCTTTACAAGAGATTCAGAAACCGTAATATTGATATTAGATAGTTGACGAGGGAACGGAGTAGGATTTGGAGGAATGTCTTCAATAGTTCTATCTGAAGTAGAAATGAATGTGACAAAACAGTTAAACGATTCCGCCTTATCTACAGGATGCAATTTTAATTCACCATTAATTTCCAAAGGATAATTTGTATCATTTTCATTTTAAAGGTCATAACAGATTTGGCAATTCTCCACCATTTACCTGGAGGGATATTTTTGTCAATAAGAGAATTTTGTAATTTGCTAAGATATTTTTGTTTTACATCTCTAATTATTGAAAGATCTGAATTACGTAATTGTCCGTATTTATCCCACGAGGTGGGAGTATTATTTGCTTAGCCTATGTTGCCTATTTCTCTGCCTCATTTTCAGCCGGATTTCATTATTCATCCATATTTTATCATTAGGGCTAATGGTCACTGTTCTGTGTGATACAAATCTGTCAATACAAGCCATTAGCTTATTGGCTACAATTTCATTTAAGATTTCAATATCATCAATATAACTCAACTCTGCATCCCAATCAATTGATGATAAATAAGTATTAGCACTGGCAAAACTGCATAATCAAAATATATCAAAGTTTTTTTAAAAGCAATTTCCCTTAATGTCTTGAATGAAATTGTGGTACTAATAGCACAATGATCACTACATGATGGTGGATCCACAGTTACATTATATACATTATAACTGTCATTGGTCAATATAACATCAAGGGAAGTTGATGATGTTGAGGTTATTGTTGTAGGTTCATTTACAATATTATTTAATCCATACTTTAACATCAATCTTTTCAGGTGAGAGTTTGGGGTCAAATTCTTGTTAATATCACCAAGTAGGAAGGTACTCATATTTAGATAAAAGATTTTTTCAAGAATTTCTTCTACTTTATCCTCGTAGTTATCAAAATAATTTGGAGCCCGATATAAGCATCCTGCAAGCATTTGTTTATTTTGCAACTTAATTTCTGTCCAGACAACCTCAACAGCATCAGATTCAAGGTCTAATCTACGTTTAGCAATTATGTTATTCTTAGTATATGCTGTCTGTCTTTACGAAAGACTGTGGAAAAAGTTTCAGTACGGATGTCATCATCATTAACTGATGGATTCAGTTGAGTCTCACTAATACCGCGAATGTCGCAGTCACCATATTCAGCGTCAATTAGATCAATTTTATTTAATAGTGAACAAATATTTATGTGACGAATGTTGATTTTGTCAGAAAGGTACTGGTCACTACTTATTTTTGGGCCTGGCCTTAGGTGTACATCTTAAGGTGTAAGGTGTAAATTTAAGATTTAGAAATGATGAGTTCAGAGATAGAAAGAGATCAGAGTATCCTCATGGTATCCTTATCCTTTTCTTCTCAGAAAATACTTATTAAAGCATTAGTTATGTCGTGTCGTAGAAGTGTGTCTAATTAGTAATAACAGTTTTAGATGGTATACGGGTTATCCTTTACTGTTACACCGAAATCAACCATGACGTTTAAGCATGGACGTAAACAAATAATCGGATAGTTTATACAGTATATGGTACGTACAGTATGCGAAATATGTGTTGAATAGTAACCCCCCCATATTTAAATATTTTGGTTGTGTTGGATGGAGAACATTCCATGAAAGCTGTCGATTTAAAACTAAGTCGAAAAGAGCAGAAAACTAAATAAATTTCTACTTTTATTCTGTTGTTATTTTTCAGGAGAATATACAAGAACGTATGTCAATACAGAAAACCACTCCTTTTACGCCAGCATGTTACTGTTGTGAAGGAACATTCATAAACGTTACTTTGTCATGAAGTGCTGCTTATAAACATCCTTTTGTCCAACCACCTCTATACAAAAATGCAAAGAAATGAAGTGACGAAAATGTGTGGAACAAGTACCTTCAGCTTAACGCTATTTTAAAAAAGACACCGTGCAAGCGTTAAGGTAATTCCAATATGGCTGCCACACCAAACTGTATATCAAATGCAATAATGCATTCCGTTAGCATTAAACAATCCCTGTCACCAAAAAATCCTCCTCCAATTATTCTTAAACATAATTGAGGTACATGCACACTAAATTTCAGGAAAAAAAATCAATAACTGTTGAAAAAATCTCTTTTTAAATGTTAATTATCCAAGATGAATAAGAGTCACAATTCAGGAATAAAAATCATTTAAACTTGTAAATATCATAAGGTTGGATGTCCATGGAGATGGATTTATTGAGAAAAATGTAAGAAAATCTGTCAAAAGAATAATAGCATATATTTCCCCTGAATAAATCACAACTGGGGAATTTCTTTTAATTCAATCGGCGTCAGAAAAATACAACATATGTGAGGTGAGGTCCTTAACGGAGATATCGAAATATCAATTACCATGTTCACAAACAACTGTACCTGTCGCATTGAGCGCCGGAAAAGACTATAACGACTGTTGTTACCGGCTACATCATTCCTTTCCTGTTCGCTTACCTGTAGTCACTCACATGTGCGTCTACACACTCTGACATACCCTATACGCTACGTTCTATATTCAATAATTTTTTAAATGGCCCCTGTATTTGCTTGTCTGGGTCGCTGTCTCCACGCTCCGTGCTAGGTCTACCCCAAAATGAGAAAGGTCTATTACAATACACACGACCTGGTGGCGCCAAGGGCAAGCGCTACCACTATTAAAATACAAACGAACTGGTTGCGCCACAGGCAAGCAATATCACTATTA